ACTGAAACTATCAATTTAAAATTAGGAGTATTACATGGGTCCATTTACATCTTATGCATTTTATTTAATGTAATTTATGTGGATTTTATATAGTTGTGTGTGTGTGTGTATATATATATATATATTTTTGTGTGGTGCAAAAAAGGAAAATGAAAATAAATCAAAAAAGATATTAAATTTTGGTGGTGGGACCCACCACCACTTTAAAAGGCCAATAGACCATTTGAGCCTCACAATTCTCTCTTTCCCGTAAGTTCACTGTCTTTCCCTCTCCCTCTCATTCTCCATTTTTTGTTTATCTTTTTCTACAAACTTCAACCTTTGATTTTTCTCTCATCTTTAGGAGTTTTTGGATGTCGTTTGCGACAAAACGGAGAGCACGTCGAGATCTATTCATTGATCTAAGCAATTCATCATTTGGTGCATCCTAGGAATTTCGAAAATTTGGTCCCATTTGAGGGTTTTCTACAAAATTGAGGTAGAGGTGTTCTAATTATATTTTCTTTGGCTTTAGTGAAATTTCCTTCTTGATTTGCCCCTAAGCATGTTTAATTCGGTTATTCAATTCATGTATTTAAGGTTCTATGTGATTATGTCGATTATATGAATATTGGTTCAATTACATATTTCTTATGATGATGTGATGAAAAGTATATTAAACTCGTGCCATGGTATATTCTATATGATGAATTGTTTATTTGAGAGCATGATGTATAAGTATGTGGTTAATAGTTGGTAACTTATGCAAAATTTCATTGTTGGCACAATAATTATGAAGTATGAGGCATTCATGTATTCATTGGGAAAGGAAAAGGGGGAAAAACGTTTTAAAACAAGTGAAATTGTTTTGGAAAAAAGTTTTCTAAAAGTGTTTCCAAAAACCGGACACCTAGGAGGCGCCTAGTGGTCTGCGATGTTAGTGTAATTAAGTTAACTAGGCCAGATGCGACGCCATGGAGGTGCTTTGTGGTCGTGGATAGTTAGTTAATCCTCCTTTCGTGACGCCTTAGAGGTGCCTTCGGTCGGATTATACTAACGGTTTGGAAGTTAAAACAGAATTGTTTTGGAAATTGGGGGGTGGGGGGGGGGGGGGGGGGGTGACATTGGCATGCATTCTATACATGTGGTTAGATGACCTGTTTTGTGGATTTGATGATATTGTTGTCATTGTTGTATTTTTTTTATTTTTTATTTTTTTTTCTGATTGATATGATCCCGTTTACTTTTACCCTATGCTTTGCGTGGATTCACGGGGTTGTAAGAGGTGTGTTTAAGACACTTCCTACCGAACTTTATGCTCATCCTATTATTTTAATATTTTTCAGGTTTGGGAAAAGAAGGGGCGGGTGACGACCCATCGTAAATTAAGACTGGACTAGAACTCTTATTTTGTTGTCTTTTGTATAGAAACATGTTCATATACCTTTTATAAAAATTAAGTGTAACTTGTATAATGTTGTAATGCTAAAATTTGTGTAAATAAATATATTTTATGGACTGTAACTTAATTAAAGTGATTCCTTGTTTGGATGAGATGGAGGAACGGGATATTTTATATGTAAGTGTTAATTTTAGGGATGTTGTATATTATTACATTGTGCGTTGGGACATGATAGATTAGTTTTGAGGCCCAGTGAGACCATTGCATTCTTATGCATTTCAATAAGTTGTAGAGTGACTTTTTCTACGGAGGTCATGCCGAAATTATATATATATTTTTATTATTATTATTATAAACTCTGGGATGACACGAATATTATGTATTGAAATAGGAAAAGACGGTAACGTCTTTAGTTGATTTCGAGTTCGTGTAAGGACCCGGTTAGCGATTCAAACCCTTGGGTTCGGGTTGTTACAAATTTGGTATCAGGGTTTTATGTTCGAAAACCTAAGGATGACGAGTAGGGTTGACCTAAGTAGGACTTGAGTTGATTTAGATACATTGCATGTTAAAGTGTTCAATGTTATTTGAGAAGAATGCTTATTTGTTTAATTGTTTATGTGTTTGTAGTTTTGAAAAGCATGCTTACTTACTTACTTGCTTATGTGATCACATGTTTATGTGTTTAAAATAATGATTGAAAACATATTGATTTTGATATGATGATAAGTATGAGGAGTATGTCAAGGGCAAGCTGTGAGTGCGGATTGTGCAAGTGTGTATTATATAAAATGATGATGAGGATGGAAGGAATATTTAATTTTACATAATAATTTAATGGACTTATTGTTTAAACGTATGTGATAAGACATGGTCGTGTCAAGGGTTATGCTTTGGTTATCGTGTATATATATATATATATAAATATGTCTTATGTATATACGTATATTCTTATGTGTATGTGCAGTTGAGCATGAGATGGTTGTGTGAGTTTTGACCTGAGTAGGCGAGAAGCTTGGTTGCTCTAGGGTTGTTGGGTGTCAGTTCTTATCGAACAAATGGCTTGGTCTTTTAGCTCATGGATTGAGCTTTCCAGTGTGGAGTCTTCCTGATTTTCTTGTTGCATTTTGTGCAGTGATTAGAGCACAACTTTAGAACGGGTTTGTATTTCATAGCGTGGTGTCTTTATTATGCGTGAGTTTCATGCATTGATGGATGGGTTCCTGTGACCGTGGAGGTCAGGTATGCGAGTAAGGGTTTTGAAGGAGAAAGGTATAACCTTAAAAGGTTAGTGTTTGTGACTTGGGTCACAGTTTGGTGCGAAGGTTCTTTTCGAACCAGTTTATGGTGGGTGTGACAGGAGTTGCTTAAGTCACGAGTGTAGTTTATGGGTTGTATACGTGTATTTAGGGTATTTTGGTACGGTCCAAGGAAATGTATTGGTTCTTATTGTTAAAGGGACTTGTTGGACTCTATGAGTCTAGGGTGGCGTAGGCATTGACTGGAGTCATGCCTGTGCCGAGTAACCGACTGTTAGATGTTGATTGCATGGCTCGGTCAATGAGTGGGGTTTTGGGTTGGCACGGCTGTCTAGAGAGTCTCGAGGTAGTGTATAGTGGTTAGTTTTAGTAGTATAGAGCAGGATTGCACTAAACGGCTGGTTGTGTGAGGTCATTGAAGTGCTCGGTCGTTTACGGATGAAGTGATTGATGGTAGGTACGGTGTTACCAAATAGACTGTATTCTAGGATTTAAAAGCTATGGACTGGAGTTGGATTTTATGTTATGTTTGAGGTATCAGGAGATTGTGCTTGGTGTTTGAGGATTCGAAAAGGTAGACTGATGAATTGGGCAGGTACCCGAGTGTCTACTCGAGTGTCCAACCTTTCAGTTAAGGACAAGGTAATGGATGGCTATCCATACAAATTATATATACATTGTCGATGTGGACGTGTCATCATTATTGTGTCAGTCGACTTGTACTGAGATCTGCACAATGTGATACGACAGCGTATTGTCACGGGCATGCCCTTCAAAATGTTGCCCGGCCAACATCAACTGATTTTATAGCCCGTGGATAACATAGACAGTGACTCACCTTACACGTGGTTTTGTATCATCACCACTCTCCATTTTGTATTATCACCCTCCAATGATGTTACGTATTGTGTGTCAAATTTCTATCCAACTACTACGTACATTTTTATCTAAAAAAAAATATATTAGGAAAAATTATAAAAAAATGAACTTTAGGAGATTTTATTATTTAGAGATAGGAGTCAAATTCAATATTTTTTAAATTCATCGATCTTGATTAAAATTTTATTTGAATATGAAAAATTATTATTCGTTTGTCCAAACTACCTTTAGTATTTTTGGGTATCACTTTTGTACATATATGGACTATTTTTGTGTACAGTAATACCACTTTTGTGCACACAAGTACCATTTTTGTGCAAACCAAGAAATCAAAATGCTATCCACAAAAAAGATACCTTTGTATACAAAAGTGGTACTTACATGCACAAACGTAGTATCTCTATACAAAAGTGTTATTTACCTACATAAAAGTAGTACCTGTGTGTACAAAAGTGGTACCTTTGATCACAAAAGTGGTACTTATACGCACAAAAATGGTACCTCTTTGGCAGACGTGGATGGGACTGTTGTTAACCTGGACTCTGCTGAAACCTGAACAAAAAAGATTTCCCATTTCTTCTGTTTTCCTTTTCTGTTGTTGTGGTTATTCTTTGGAAGGGATTAGGGGGTTTGGGTAGTTGGATTAGGGTTTTTTGAATTGGGTTGTGATCTCATCTAGATGTTTGCCTTGGGATGTAGTCGGCAAGTAAACAGAGGTGGATTGGCAGCTCAGTTTTGAGAGCTTATTAACTCGTGTTTGAATAACGGATACACTAGTAGTAGTAGTAGTGTTAAGGAAATTAGTGAATTGGTAGAATTAGAATCTGTGTATATTGAAGAGTATTTCTGGTGGTTGTGGTTGGAGTAGTTTTTGTTTCCTGTGTTTGCAAGTATGTCTTTGTGCTTTTGAAATTTAGACTTTCTTTAGTCTGTAATGAGTGGAAATCTGTGAGCCTTGCTTTTGTTTCATGTACTTGAATGTCCCAAAGCTATTGGAATACTTGTTTTGGACAACTGCTGCTCTTTACATAAAAACATTATTAGAAAAATTATTAGTGTGGGGCTTGGACAAACACAACGAAGACATCCCAAAGGATATGGAAGAGTTGGGCTCATACAGTTTTCCGTCCCACTTGCACTGAGAAAAACTTTCTTGTGATTGTTGCACTGTGCAACAGGTACATCCAAATATTTATTGTCGTGCATGTATGGGTGCGTATATTACACGGACGGTCTAGATGCACTCGTAATACAGTGCAAGTTTTTATTCACATGAACTCAATTATTGAAATAATTTCATGGGGTCCAATTCCTTACTTCCCAAAGGTGAGATGAGAGTTTTTGCCATTAAGCTACAGGAGTTTGAGATATTATGTCCGGTGCTTTAGAAATCAGAATTTATTCATCGGTAACATTAACTAATATATATATATATATGCAGACACATATTACTATTTCTCTTGATCACAATACAACTAAGATAAAGAATTACATGCATGGACTACACTACATATGTATTTTATACATGTAGAAAAATACAAACCAAAGCCTCTTGACTTCATGTCCTTAGAGTGATAGAAAATGTTTTGCAAAGAAGCCATGACAGAAATATTGAAATGATGGTAATCTTGGTAGGCATCCTTCCTTTATCAAACCTGAAGACCATGGCTTCATAAACTGGCCAGCAATTCAACACCACAAAACCAGCTATAAACATTTGCACAAACAATCCATCCAACTCTCCTCCCCTCATGAAAACTTCCGAAAACCCCATTAGGAATGCCACTAAATTGATTGCTGCTGCCATTGCCAACGGCACGAACATCGGCGACGAGACCCCGAACTCAAATCTCCCTTCATCATACCTCTTGCTTTGTTGGTCGTCGACTACTTTGCTGGTCACATTGAATCCATGTGTGACAATGCCCAAGGTCTTGGTTAAGTATTCGATTGTTCCAAATAAGAAAGATGAGAGTCCCCTTATCATCCACATCCTCTGATCACTCCACCACCTTAGTGTGCTACTTTGTGCTAGAATAAACTCCAGGTAGTCTTGTCCATAAGCCCCCAAAAATAGAAACAAATACAAGAAAAACCATTGTTCTGAGACCTGTGATACATTTTTATAGTTTTTAATCAAAAGAAAATTATAAACACTGTCAATGTGATAAATTGGATAATCATTTTTTCCCCCTCTTGGCATGTTTTTTTGTTTGAGTCAGTTTTTGTTTGGAAAAAACTCTCACATAAAACTTTAACGCGGCTATTTTAAAATTTCAACTCAAATACCGTTTTTTCCATAATGTGACTATTTTAAAATTCTTTTAACTCAAGCACAATTCTTTCTATAACCTTATTATTTATTTTTATCAGAATGCTTTTATAAGAATTCTATAATAAATTAATTTTTACAAAATCTAGAACAAAATTTTCATTTGAAATTTTGAATATAAACAAAGATTGATAATTTTTTTTATCAATTTTGCCCCCACCCCAAGATCCCCTGGGCATGTTGGAGGTTCATTTACATGCCTAATTTTTGGGCTATCAGTGATCGAACCCAGATCTTCCTCCGTGCCATTTAGATCACCTATGCAAAAACTTCATATTGTTTATGCACTGTTTATGCAATCTAAACAACTTTTTCATGTATATATCGCATTGCGACGTAGTGCGTTGCACTAGCAATCTACTATTGACCCCTTTGTTTTGAGCTTCACTATATATATATATATATATTTCATTGCACACAACAATTCAATTAGTGAGTCCAGTTACATACCTTGGGGAAGATGACGAGTCCATTGAGGAGAGCTAGCTGAGGGAGGAAAGCATATATAGTGATTGGAATGCACCAAATGGGCGAGAGAACATAGTGTGTATAACAAAGACTCATTAGAGGTCCCATAGCATGAGCACCAAAGATCATAGGACTGTATTTGGAGAAGGCCACCTCAAGGAGGCCAACATTCCACCTCTTGTTCTGGTTCAGCGCATCATTGAGGGAAATCGGTGCATCGCCCCAAAATGCTGCTCTTTCAGGTTGACAGAACACTGCCTTCCATCCCTCACACATTAGCAGATACCCCGTAAAGAAGTCCTCCACTAGAGAGCCATACCTAAAGCCCATCTGCACATTCTACAACCAGTTATATATGTTTTCATCAACAATGCATGTGCCCGGACGTTATTCTGACCTAGAGGTCACTAGTTTCAAAACCGAAAACAACCTTTTCATATAAAGGTAAGACTGCAAACATTGATGTACCCTCTACATACATCTGGATAATGACGCTCTTACTGTATATGTGTACACATACTACATACAGGCACATCTGACCCTCCACAAATTTTGCAATAGCAGGAGCCTAGTGCACTCTAGACTAGCCCTCTATATATGTACCCTTCCTAGCAGTTTTTGTTAACGTGACCAACACCGGGTAATGACGCCTTTTCTATATATGTACACATTTGAAACATTAGAACAATAACGAGCTAGCTAAATTACCTTGTAACCCCAATTGGTGTGGTTCTCATAACTGCAATCTGCTACATGGTGTGCCAATGCCAAGATTTCATGGGCATGAATGGGCTTGTTGACAATATGGTCCGGGAACAATTCCGGGATTTCTGGAGTGACAAGTGAGGTAGATATAGGGCCTCCAAAGAAAGCTCGGCGAGAGAAGAAGCATCCTGTTCCAGCATAATCCGGGCCTGCCAGCCCATCCATCCCGGGCGGACTGATGTGCATTGCACGCTTATACTCACAGGCATAGATGTCAGCCTTGTTCAGTCCACGAAACCTCTGGGGAAACTGCATGTACCCTAATGTGGTCCGAATTGCAGGGTCACAGAAGTAACACAGCACCCTATGAGGCGTTAGGGGATCGTTGGAGTACATATCACAATCCAAATTCAGTATAATAGGTGCATTGGTCATGATTCCCGATACTCGAAGCTTCAAATTAATTATAAAACACAATAATTATACATGACATTCAAAAAAAAAAAAAAAAAAGAGGTGTGACACTGAGTTTGCTTACCAGGACATTAAGGGCACCAGCCTTAAAATTATGTGAAGACATCCGGTTTTTCTCTCTTGATATGTATACAAGATTTGGCATTGAATGGCTTGTGATGTCTCTGTCTTTGCCATTTTCCGTCAGAACCTACTTGCATAGTAGTCATTAGTTGCAACAAGCAAACTGTGAGTGTCTTGTGTTAAAAATAATTAATGCCATGTTCATTCATGTATATGTTCATTCATGCATCTATTATTGTACATGTATCAAGTGGATACATGTATCAAGAGTGTACATGTATCAAGTGTGTGCATGTATCATGTGTGTGGTTGAGATTGTCTTGAAAAGTTCAAAGGTCTATGGGAGAATAGTATATATAGGGTAATGTATTTATTGTTAAGATATGAACACAACAAAGAATTCAATTCAATAGAATATTTGTTTCTCTCCTCTCTTCACTTAGAAATTATTTAGTTGGTTGAAACTATAACCAACATAAGTGGTATCAGAGCTTAATTTCGATCAAGAGCAAACTGGGCGTGAAGCTTATTGACGGGAAAACAAACCCCGAAGAAGATCTATCGTGATGGCGACTACAGGCAGTCAAAACCAAGGTGCCCATCAATCAGCACTTCCCATTTTTGATGGGGAAAATTATGATTTTTGGTATGTGAAGATGATGACCATTTTTCTCTCATATGATTTATGGGATTATGTTGAAGATGAGTATGATGAACTGGAGGATACAACAACTTTGACGAATGCCCAAAGACAACAATTGAAAGATCATAAGAAGAAAGATGCAAAAGCTTTAGGCTTGATTCAACAAGGAGTTGCTGATACAATCTTTCCTAGAATTATCAATGCTTCTAAAGCAAAGGAGGCATGGGATATTCTCGAGAAGGAGTATAGAGGTAGCACGAAGGTAAGAACTGTAAAACTCCAATCTTTGAGAAGAGATTTTGAAAATATGAAAATGAAAGAAATGGAGTTGTTGAAAGATTATTTTTCTAAACTTATGGAGGTGGTAAATCAAATGAAGACCTATGGGGAAGATATTTCTAATCAAAGAACTGTTGAAAAAATTCTGATTAGTTTGCCGGAAAAATATGACTCTATTGTTGCTGTTATTGAAGAGACTAAAGAGCTTGAAAACTTGAGTGTTGAAGAATTGATGGGTTCCATAAAAGCATTTGAGCAAAGGTTGAGTAGGCGCTCCGAAAAGACAATTGAAAGTGCTTTTCAATCCAAGCTCAATGTTAGTTCCAAAAATCAAGAAAAATACCCATCAAGTTTTGATCGATCCAAAGGTGAATCTTCTAGAGGTGGAAGACACGGAAGAGGAAGAGGAAGAAATTCAAGAGGAAGAGGAAGAAATAATTTTGAGAGAAGTGGAAATATAAAGTCCACTCAACAAAATTGTGGAATTTGCAAGAGAAGTAGCCATGTTGACAAAGATTGTTGGTTTCGGGGACAACCTTAATGTTTCAATTGCAAGAAATTTGGACATGTTCAAAAAGATTGCCAGTTGAAAACAAATCAGCAAGCTAATTTTTCCGAAGAGCAAGAAGGTGAAACGAGCATGTTTTATGCTTGTCACTCGACATCGGAACAAAATGATAATGTGTGGTTTCTTGATATTGGGTGTAGTAACCACATGACCGGAGATAAAAACATATTCTTGGAGATTGATTCTTCATCCAATTCTCAAGTGAGGATGGGAAACGGTGCCTTAGTCCAAGCAAAAGGAAAAGGTACTATTGCCATAGAGACAAAAAAAGGAAGAAAGCATATTCGGGATGTGTTACTTGTTCCGGATTTGGAGCAAAATTTGTTAAATGTTGGACAGCTTGTAGAGCATGGGTACTCCATTCATTTTGATGAGGACTCTTGCAAAATTATGACAAGGGAGGACAAAATCATATTGTAGCAAAAATCAAGATGGGCAAAAATAGAAGCTTTCCTTTCACTTTTTCATGTTAAAAAAACATGGCCTTGAAGATGGATGTTGTTGATGAGTCTTGGCTTTGGCATAGAAGACTTGGCCATTTGAATTTCCAAAGCTTAAAGAATTTACAACAAAATAGCATGGTGTATGGGTTGCCAACAATATAAGAAGTTAAAGAAGTTTGTGAAGGTTGTGCTCTTGGCAAGCATCACCGAGAGTCATTTCCGAAAGAGAAGGCATGGAGGGCTAAAGCACCATTGGAGCTTGTTCATACCGATGTGTGTGGACCGATGACAACACCAACTCAAGCGGGTAACAAGTATTTTATTATTTTCGTTGATGATTTTTCAAGAATGACACGGATTTATTTCACGAGACAAAAATCAGATGTGTTCTCTATTTTCAAAAAATTTCAATAGCTTGTTGAAAGGCAAAATGGCCATCTTATCAAAGTGTTAAGAAGTGATAGAGGTGGAGAATACAACTCAAATGAGTTTAAAAAGTTTTGTGAAGATATTGGCTTGGAGAGACAATTAACGGTTGGGTACACTCCACAACAAAATGGAGTGGCAGAAAGGAAAAATAGAACAATCATTGAGATGGGAAAATCAATGCTTCATGAGAAGGGGCTACTTAAATCATTTTGGGGTGAAGCCGTGTATACGGCTATTTACTTGATGAATAGGAGTCCAACAAAAGCGATGGAAAATAAAACTCCATTTGAAGCATGGAGTGGAAGGAAGCCATCATTGAAACACTTGAAAGTTTTTGGGTGTATTTGTTTTGCTTATGTTCCAAGAGAAGTGAGGCACAAACTTGATGAAGCTAGTGAAAAATACATCTTTGTGGGTTATAGCTCAAAATCAAAGGGCTATAGACTCTTTAATTTGAAGAAGAATAAATTGATTATTTGTAGAGATATTTTCTTTAACGAGAAGGCTGCTTAGGATTGGAAAGAGAAGAAACTTCAAGATTAAATCCCCATTTTCAATGAAGAATCAGGAAATCAAGAAAATGAAAATGAAGATTTTCTTGAAGTTCCACAAGAAATGTCTCCCGTATCTTGCTTACAATCAATCCCAACTTCTCCATCAAACTCAAATTCCTCATCTCCAAGTTCAACTCCAAGAAGAATGAAAAGTCTTAGTGATGTGTATGCAAGTTGCAATTTTTGTGTTGTTGAACCGAAGAACTTTGAAGAAGCAATTAAACAAGAGGCATGGAAGAAAGCTATGTAAGATGAAATTTATGTGATTGAGAAGAACAAGACTTGGGAGTTAGTAGAGAAGCCGGAAGACAAAGATGTGATTGGTGTGAAATGGATTTTTAAAACAAAATTCAATCCGGATGGCTCCATTCAAAAGAATAAAGCAAGACTTGTAACAAAAGGGTATTCACAACAGCCCGGAATTGATTTTCAAGAAACTTTTTCACCCGTGGCTCGTCTTGACACAATTAGAGCACTCATTGCCTTGGCGGCTCAAAATGGTTGGTCCTTGTATCAACTTAATGTAAAATCAGCCTTCTTGAATGGTATTTTGAAAGAGGATGTCTATGTAGAAAAACCTCAAGGCTTTGTTGCAAAAGGAGAAGAAGAGAAAGTTTACAAATTAAAGAAGGCTTTGTATGGCCTAAAACAAGCACCCCGGGTATGGTATAGTGAGATTGATTCTTACTTCATCAAAAAAGGCTTTCAAAGGAGCAAAAGTGAGCCAACCTTGTACTACAAGACACAAGGTAAAACTGGGATTCTTATTGTTTCTCTTTATGTTGATGATTTGGTATTTACCGGAAATGATAAAAAAATGATTGATGATTTTAAAAGAGAGATGATGAAAAAATATGAAATGAGTGATTTAGGTTTGTTGCATTACTTCTTGGGCATTGAAATTTATCAAAAAGAAGGAGGAGTTTTTATTTGTCAAAAGAAGTATGCAAAAACTCTTCTTGAAAAATTCAAAATGTTGAATTGCAAATCCGTTTGCACTCCCTTGGTTGTGAATGAAAAATTGATGAAAGAAGATGAAAGTAAAGAAGCGGATGCATCTCTCTATAGAAGCTTGGTTGGAAGTCTATTATATTTGACATCTTCAAGACCCGACATCATGTATGCTACAAGCTTATTATCTCGGTTTATGCACAATCCAAGTCAAATTCATGTTGGGGCTGCAAAGAGGGTATTGAGATATATACAAGGTACACTTGATTTTGGTATCTTGTATGAGAAAAATGTTGATGCAAAGTTGTTTGGTTTTTGTGATAGTGATTGGGCCGGATTTGTTGATGATATGAGAAGTACTTCCGGTTATGCATTCTCTCTTGGTTCAGGTGTATTTTCATGGGCATCTAAAAAGCAAGAAACGGTTGCGCAATCTTCTACCGAGGCTGAGTATATTTCAGCATCAATGGCAGCGTCACAAGCAATATGGCTAAGGAGAATTTTTGAAGATGTTGGTGAGAAGCAAAGGGAAGCTACTCCAATTTTATGTGACAACAAATCCGCAATTGCTATGACAAAGAATCCTATTTTCCATAGTCGCACAAGACACATTGCAATCAAGCATCACTTCATTAGAGAAGCCGTGGAGAATGAAGAGATTCAACTCAAGTATTGTAAGACAGAAGACCAAGTTGTGGACATTTTTACCAAAGCACTTCCAAAAAATAAGTTTGAATACTTTAGAGAATTGTTGGGTGTCACAACATGGCATTAAGGGGGGTGTGTTAAAAATAATTAATGCCATGTTCATTCATGTATATGTTCATTCATGCATCTATTATTGTACATGTATCAAGTGGATACATGTATCAAGAGTGTACATGTATCAAGTGTGTGCATGTATCATGTGTGTGGTTGAGATTGTCTTGAAAAGTTCAAAGGTCTATGGGAGAATAGTATATATAGGGTAATGTATTTGTTGTTAAGATATGAACACAACAAAGAATTCAATTCAATACAATATTTGTTTCTCTCCTCTCTTCATTTAGAAATTATTTAGTTAGTTGAAACTATAGCCAACATCTTGTGACAAAATTTGTGTGTGAAAAGACAACTTTATGCAGGTTAGATGTGTTTTTAGTGATTTGCATGCTAAAAGGCTTGTTTCGGAACATTTGACAAGAAGGGATATTGGAAAAATTGGATTGGATTGGAGTTGTGAACCTGAATTACAGTGGGATGATGTTGATGAGTGAAACCCTCCGACCATTTCTTGAAAGATTCGTGTTCTTGTTCGCCATTGATGTGCTCATCCTCAACCTTTCCTCTGTCAACAACATTCTGTACTTTTACCTTCATGCTTTCATACATCATCTGTAATATGATCAAGACATATCCGTAGTTGATTAATGTAGGATATGTCATAAGCATAATAGGATCAGATTAATCTTAGATAAATTATGTGAAACTGAGTTTGGCGATTTGATCTGGTGGAGTACGTGAGTGTCATAAGCAAGTTTGTATTTCTGTTCATTTTGTCTCCAGATCATATCCTTGCAAGACCAAGTAATCTTATTGACTAAATATCTATTGCAGTGTATATGTTTCATCTTGGTGAATAAAGTCCAAAATATACAATGCAAAAAAATATATATATACATATATATATATATATATATATATATATATATATATATATATTTCTCAGGGCAGGTGTATCGGTCTCACAACACACACAAAGACAGGAGTGCGATTTGAAAGCAAAACCTCAACGAACTTACCTCCTCAATCCCTATACCAACGCGCCTATGCCCCTAGGGGCATGCAAACTAATAACGGCACTAAAATTTCATTGTGGTGTATAACTAATTAGTCTTGCTCTTTATCCCTTGCAACCTTTCTCATTTCTCTTCTCAATCTCTGCTTCCTGTCTCACAAACCATTCTCTCTTGATTGCTCGATTTTCTTGTTTGCTGATTTATGTAACACAAAAAATTAAGAAAGAGATCATTGTTTAGATTAATGATAAGAACTGAGAAAAAATCTTCTATCTCTAGTCTTCTTCTAAAATTTTCTTAATTATGGACAAATTCGGGAGCCAAGAGTGGAAGTACAAAAGTCACTACCTAATCCAACTGGTGTAGAACGCATCTACACAGTTGAGAGGTTGGACGTCACTAGCTTTTTCAGAACTCAAAGGCCTAATTCTACAAGTGCTTCTAAAACGCGCTTGTAAATTGACAGACCAATGGATTGCTGATTTGGAGTCTTTAAAATTCACTTTGATGGTGAAGAATATGATATATATATATATATATATATATATATATATATATATATATATGGGCCTATGGCAGTGATTGAAAAGGAAAGAGAGAGAAACATACCAAACACTATAGGTACCTATCAATTATTTACTGGAAAAAAAAAAAAAAAAAAAAAAAAAAAGGTACCTATCAGTGGCATATGCACCCTTGGATTTTTGTTGGGTGTGACAACTACAGACAGTGTTGGACCCAATATATAAATTGTATTATAACTAAGGATGCATACAAAACACGCACAAGAACCCACGCCACTACTTTATTCAAACGCAGGGAAGAAAATGGAGTGCCTCCATTTCTGACTTTACCATTTTATATCTTCTTCATACATAGAATGCAAATCCAACTAAACGTGTCGATAGATTTTTCTCTTTTATTTATTTATTTGTGTGTAAATTATGATTTTTTTTTTTCCTCTTTCAAAGATAAAAAAATATTAAAATCTAGTAGATAAGGGATCTCTTGAATAAATTCGGACCTCCAAATTTAAAAACACTCAAATTGAAATAATATGTGTCATTAGTTCAAAATGAAAAACTCTTTTACGTGACCGTGACCGGCAGGAATGCCTTCATTATGATTGATGAATCATCATCCTCTACTATGTGACTTTCAGACACTATTGAAACTCAATAACGAAGGTACATAGGAAAACAATTAATTAAACACACACAACTATTAAGCCTATTACCTTCATATTTTCAGTGTTAGAGTAGTTGGATCTGAAATAAGCATCTGGAGACCTCTCTATGATGTTGTTTTCCTTACAGAAAGGTAACCAGTGTCTTCCAAACTTAGCAGCCTCCATCAAAGCAAAGAGAGTCAACTCAGAGCCTCCATCGTCCGAGACATAGACCGAAAGCTTCTCTGCCGGATAATCATAAGCCATCACTGATAAGGCCGTGTTCACTACACTCATGGGTGGCTCTTTGTATGGATCTGCAGTGCATATAAACACGTCCAACCCCGGAAAATCTTTCTTGCTGGTGAGTACTCTGTCCAGGTTTTCCGGGTACTCCTGACGGTGGATTGGACGCATGCGAAAAGACTGCGTTGTAAACCACATCAACCCTAGGAGGAGATCGGAGAAGAAAAGGGAGATGGAGATGAAGGATGAGAGTAAGGTAGTGGAGTGGTGGATTTTGAGTACATGGTGATAGAAGAGTGTGAAGATGGCACACGTGTAAACTGCTGCAAACACACGGTTCACTGCCGTGGCGCGTGCGAAACTAAGCGTGTGAAGAGGAACTTTGGTGGTGGTTGTGGTTATACCCTCCATTTCTCTGTTGCTTAGCCTGCTACTACGATCACAGCATATATGATATATATATATCCAAGCTAGGTAAGGTTAATCAGTGTGTGTGTGTGTATATATATATATATAGGGAAAAGGCCAAATTAGTATCAAATACTAGTGTGGAGACTTTTGACTTACATATTAAATAAATACATGTTACAATTACGTGGATGGATCGACTAGAAAGATGTCTATATTTATTGAGTGCTAGAAGCCTAGAACATATACAAGAGGGCAAACCAAAATCTTGGCAGATAATTAACCGTCTAAGCTTTGTGAGTCGAACTCGAAAGGGTATGAAGCTCAATTACTGGGACCAACCAATTCAATCCCTCATTGTCATTCAATTGCCTCCTCTTCATGTAGAGGTTCCTGCTTCATTTCACTGTAGTAGTCTCTCTGTTCATTAGAGTTGGAGTTTTTCTAAGAGGTTGTGTTAGGATGGGATGATTTTCCTGAAATCTCAAAGTCATTCATCTCTATGGGTGGTTGGCTACGATGGTTGATGTTTCTGGCGGGGTGTTGTTTTAAGTGTTTTGACCGGTGGCCAACAAACTATTAAGATTTTTTCTCTCTTGTAATCTAGGATTGTACATATTGTATAGCTGTAGAATGAACTAATTGGTAGGTAATTAATTTTCCGATTCTTGTATAAATAGTTACCTAATTTGACTAGGTTTTATTCTATAAATTGTATCTATCCCCATCAATGAATAATATCGAAATACAATTTTTAATTCCCATATTTTTCCTCTGAATTGAAGATGGTATCAGAACCTACCGAACCGGCTTTGAATCTCCTTGAAACCTAGAAATCCAAGCCACTGTTCCACAACAAACATGAAACAACCAAACCTCTGTTGGACCAAGAAGGGGAGGTTGAATTGGTCCTAGGTAGTTTTGTGATACCCCTCGGATCCGAGACACGGGTTGATCAGGCCTAAACCAAAACCCGAGGGAAATATCAAACAATTAATATTTAAAACGAACATAGATTACAAAATGAATTAAGAAATAAATAAAAGCTGAATGAATTCTAAAATAAAAATCCTTTCAAATTAAATGCTTAGAAAAATCAATAATCCAAAACCTCCAATAGTTTAAACAACTTGGGAATCCATCTCTAGTGGACCCCTAATAAAAATCCAAACTGAAATGAAACTACTAAAAGAACCTCCAAAGTAAACCATGGAGAGAAGTCCTACGTCATCGGAAGAGTAAGTGATGGTCTCTGCTTAGCACGATCAGGTCTAAGACTGGAATTGGCGAAAACCTAAAAAATAGAAGTGGGTCAGGCTCACGAACAAGTTCTATCCTACTACAATCCAAGCAGAGACTCGATACACATATACATTATAACCAACTCAACAATAGCTATATAATCTGTATATATATATATATATATATATATATATATATCTACACTATGGGACTCTCACTGGACTATGATGAGGGTCTCAACCTGAGTAGAAGGCAACATGCAAAACGTACCTGAATGGGCATGACTACCTAAGCCTGACAGGGTATACCTCAACCAACATAGTCAGCTATGCATCCTACTACATATACGCTCCCTAACCGTTGACTCTGAGACTCAAACTCATATCGCGGTACCATAAAAATATATTTAAAGTCCTATCCTATCCATCCATAAGAAATCTAGTAAGCCATTCAACTTGTTCAGCTGCACTGACTTACACATCCATAGCAAGTAATCAAGTTAGTTACTCAACTTTGTTTCAGTTGATCTGACTTAAATATAAGTAGGATTTATTTTATAATTCATTCCCTTATTCTGTATAGGTAGGATGTAGTATTTTGAAACTAATCCGTCTCTAGTATGCCACCGTCCCATACTGGTGCATACAATCCATCCATCCAGTAGTTGATAATACAGATAATGAATGTAAATACCAACTAATCCACAGAATCCATATAACTAACAGAACATAAATAAATGTTTACATCAATTAATTCCATACAAGGCATAATAGAATTTTGTAAACTAACATGCTTGTCTTATACCACTGTTATGTGATTCTTTTATAATTTACAGCATAGAGAATAAGTATAAACATCCTTTAATCTGTGATAAGCATAATCAAAATATATATTTGAACATTCTTACTTTATACCGCTACACAATTATCCAAGAATTGATATTACATTTAACACATGTATACGTCAATTTATCCTTTATAAGCATTAAACTATAAATGTATAAGGATTTAAATTGCTTGAACTTATAAGAAATTTTTCTGTGGATGGATTAAACTATAAATCCATCCACAGAAAAATTGCAACAGATAAGTTTAAGCAATTTAAATCCTCCACCTCCAAAACAGTGTACCAAAACTATGTAAGAATTTTATACTGCTTAAGGTATAAACCCTAGGTGGTTCATTATCCCTTATCCTACTTTCTGGAACTTTAACAAGACCTTAGATACCATCATACTTCCCCTGTACAGCTTCTGATTACCCCGGAATAGTCAGAAAACAAACCCAGAATCAAAATTTCACCAAAAATCAACAAAAAGAGGGAAGAGCCACCTCCCTCTTGAGTGGATCCGGCTTCACACTCCATGGAGCCAGCTTCCCCTTGTGGGGAGCCGCCTCTTTGCCCGGGTGTCCAACTCTGCTTGTTTCCTTCACCCGTTTCACCTCCGGCCACTTCCATTGTTTCTGTCTTCCATTGTTAAGGTCCCTACTGGTTAATTCTTAGTCCCAGTGTGATCCAGAAGCAATTTAATGCTTTATTCATTCACTGACATCAATCGAGACGCGAATTTTGCAACAAGAAGTTAAAACGAATAATTTACCATTCAAGAACACGTACTGTTCTAAATAAATCAACCATGCGAACTAGATTAATGTTAATACTTCCCAGTGTGTTACAGACTAATTCAACTCTTTATACACCAGTTTACATGAATTAATTCAGGAGTTACACAAGAAAGAATTTAAAATAACCAATACATAGCTTGCAAACACAACCAATTTTTTTAGCATTCAAACATGCAATCTAGTTTAATTTTAATCTTTATTTAGTCCTAGAGTTGCATTAGACATGTAAAGAACACGAGCCAAAGGAAGAGAGTTAGGATTAGAACTTACCTGTGAAATTTCGGTTCAAAATCCCAGCGTCGTCTTCCTAAGTTTTTCAGCGATTCCTACTGTAATCCTCCTCTGTTCTCTCTCTCTGTCTCCACAGTCGTGAATAGGGTTTTAAAACCCTAAGCAACCTTAATACTTATATTTATAGGTTTAAGGAAACACTAGCCCTATTTCTAATATAAGTTAAAGACAGCTAATTCAATCTATGTCTAAGGCGGCTAAAAATGTGACTACGAATAACAAACCCTAATTTAAAATAAATAAGACAAATTTCCAGTTAAAGAAAAATAGAAACCTACGCAATTAAACAATTAACAAGTAATTCAAGTTAATAAAACAATTAATCAAGTAATGTAATTTAAATACACAATTAAACAGTTAAATTAAATAAATAAAATAATTAAATAATAAGTAAATAAGAAATTACACAAATAAAAATGCAATTAAACAATTAAAAAGTAATTTAAATAATAAATTAAATAGCAGGACTATCCTTTTGAAATTAGGGGTATTACATTCTTTCCCCCTAACAAAAGGAATTCTGTCCTCGGAATTCGCTCTTACCTTCTTCCAATATTTCAGGAAACTGCGAGTGAATGACATCCTTTCGTTCCCAAGTAGACTCAGTCTCATTGTGATGACTCCACTGAACCGTACCAAAGGGATAACCTTATTACGAAGGATTTGATCCCGACGGTTGATAATACCACACGGTGGCTCCAAATAAGTTGCATCCGGCTGCAACTCAATCTCCCCAACATCGATATGCTGATATCGATCCTTATCTCATAGAAATTTTCGCAACATGGAAACATGGAACACATTATGCACACGATCCAAATTATCCAAAAGTGTCAACTCATAAGCGACAGCTCCAACTCGATCTGTAATCATGAATAGACAGACAAATCGCGGAGATAACTTCCCTTTCTTCCCAAAGTGCATTACACCCTTCATAGGAGACACTTTGAGTAGAACCTGATCCCCAACCTGAAACTCCAAAGCACGAGTGCAACGATCCGCATAACTCTTCTGCCTACTTTGGGTAGTACGCATGTGATCCCTAATAAGAGCGATCTTCTCAAAAATATCCTTGAGGAACTATGGACCCAAGTATCTGCTCTCGCCAACCTCCAACCAACAAACAGGTGATCGACACGGTCGGCCATATAATGCCTCAAATGGTGCCATACCAATAGTCTTCTGGAAACTATTGTTATATGCAAACTCCACAAGTGGCAAATAATCCTCCCAGTGGCCCTTGAAATTAAGAACACACAACCGAAGCATATCCTCCATGATCTAATTAACTCTCTCAGTCTGTCCATCAGTATGAGGATGATAAACAGTGCTAAGATGCAACTCTGTACCAAAACCTACTGAAAGCTCTTCCAAAATTCGGACACAAAGCTCGAATCCCTGTCTGATATAATAGACAACAGAATTCCATGCAGCTTTACAATCTCTGTAATGTAAAGTCTCGCTAACTGCTCTGAAGTGAAGTCAGTGCGAATAGGTAAGAAATGAGCTGATTTAGTCAATCTGTCCACGATAACCCAAATGGAATTGTGATCCTTGAAGGAATTAGGTAATCCCTCCACAAAATCCATAGAAATGCTCTCCCATTTCTACTCCGGTATCGGCAGTGGCTGTAGAGCTCCTGGCGGCCGCTGGTGATCAATCTTGACCATCTGGCAAGTACTACACCGAGAGACAAAAATAGCAATGTCTTTCTTTATACCTGCCCACCAAAACTGCCGCTTCATATCCTGATACATCTTGTCGCCTCCTGAATGAATAGAAAACTCAGAGTGGTGAGTCTCAGTCATCACATCCTTCCTCAACTCATCAGCAGAAGGTACCACCAACCAACCCTTGTACCTCAAACCTCCATCAGTCCCAACATAGTAAAATGGAACCTCCCCGGAAGCTATCTTTGTAATTTTGTCAATACACTACTGATCCGTGAGTTGCGCCTTCAAAACCTTG